GACACCCCACCAAATCACAGCCAACGCTGACAAGACCCCATGGTGCAAAATGCGGCCCACAGCCCAGCCCAGCCCGGAAATGGTGGCTGTGGGCACCAGGTAATGATGTCACGTAGCAACACCCGGCTTCCTTTCTCTAAAGACTAGCTTCCTTGGAGTTTCTTTAGCCTAGGAACATGATTTGCTTTATAGCCAGGTGCAAACATTGTACACTTTAACCAAATGTTTGTAACGCATTTTCCCGTGCCTCATCTCTTTTGATCCTCACAGAAGTCCTGGAGTATGTAGAGAGGAGACTCAGTGGAATCCTATTTTGTTTTCATTAGCCGGAAAATAGAGATTTAGAAAGCTTAGAAACTTGACCCAACTGAAAAGAACTAAGAAATGGTGGATGTTGAAAATGACTTCAGGTTTTCTCACTGTGCAGAATATAGTCAAACACTGCTGCAGTTAAATATTTTACCCTTTGTTCTCCCTGCGTGATCTATAATAATAATCTGCTTCGTGTTGATATTTACTGCTGTGTTGCTGACAATTACCTGAAAGAGAAGTTGGGGTGCTTCACTGGGCTGGAAAAAGTTTAGCTAAGCCAGAAAGCAGGTCTAATTAAGCAAGTTTATTCTATACATATAAAAGACTAAGTTGACTCGCACATGCGCGATACATATAACACTCTCACTGGCGCCAATCGCACGCATGTGTTTGGATCTGTCATTGTTGATGGTGAATTTGGTTGACACTTCTATTATAGAAAAAGGGCGAATAGCAATATTAAAGTATTTCTTCTAATAAATTTCCTTTTTAAAAAAAATATATTTTTATTGATTTTAGAGAGGAAGGAAGAGGGAGAGAGAGTTAGAAACATCAACGATGAGAGAGAATCACTGATTGGCTGCCTCCTGCACACCACCCACTGGGGATCGAGCCCGCAACCCAGATATGTGCCCTTGACCGGAATCGAACCTGGGACCCTTCAGTCTGCAGGCTGACGCTCTATCCATCGAGCCAAACCGGCTAGGGCTAATAAATTTCCTTTTAATGTGCACGAATCCATGCACCATTATGAGACTCGTGATCTTATTTAATTTTTTTATTTTAGCTGTTCTCTCCTGACATCATTCTGATAAGTTACACAACAGTGAACTCTCTTAGAAATTCTCCCATCACTTGGACATCTTACCACCAGTTAAACTACCAATCTGGATTCCTAACTCAACTACAAATTACCTACATATAAATAATCCTTATACACAGAAACATATACACACCCTATATATTCATACCTATCACACACAAACACAAAAGTTTGTGCACCCACACATGCACAAACTTATATAAACCACAGGAATCCACCCATCCTTCTCACCCGAGTATGGTGTTTCCACTAATTTCTATTTTCCCCTGCTATTACCACATGAAGATTATGTGTAAAGAAATCGGAGGACTAAAATAAATCTTTATAAGTTATGTAATGTAAAAATCCAGGCACTGGCTTGGTAGCTCAGTTGGTTAGAGCATTACCTGATACACCAAGGTTTTGGGTTTGATCCCGGATCAGGACATTGAGTACAAGAATCAACCAATGAATGCATAAGTGGGACAACAAACTGATGTTTCTCTTTCTCTTTCTTTTTTCCTTTCTTTTCTTCTCTGTCTCCTCTCTCTCTCTGTCTCTCTCTCTGCCCCCCCTTCACACACCTCCACACTTCCTCTCTTAATTAAAAAAAAATCCATTCAACGCTTGAATTCCTTCTACAATATCCCCACCAATGATCCTTCAGCCTTTACTTGAATATCTATAATGACATGAAACAAGATATGAAGGAATCCAGTCTGCCTTTGGTCAAACCTAATTCTTGAAAGGTATCTCTAATCATTGGCCAAAATTTTGCCAACTTATACTCATTTAGTTCTAGTTGAAGTCTCATCCCTTACTATCTTTCTCCCAGGAAAACCAGACATTCTAGTATGTCCAAGATGTTATTCTGGCATAATGAATATCCCTTTTCACCCACAGATTTGAACAAAACATTATATAGTCCCTCTATACTGGAGAGCCCTCAAAAATATAAACATCATGCATGTTTTTATCAGTTAACCATTACTCATATTTCAGCTGTTCTGTATATATGATTTGGAAGGCCTTCACCAGCCTTATCATTCTTGCTTCTGAATGCACACCAGTTTATTTATAATCCAAGAGCCCTCTGCTTAAATTTCTTGTTGCATATATATGTTAATCCCAATTAAAGGACAGAAAGTCACTTATTTACCTTTGAATACTAGACCAAGATGCAGCTTTGGAATTACTATACATCTGAGTAAAGACATCTGAGTGTCTTGAACAGTGGTACTAGATAGCAGTCTCATATTATACCAGTAGGTATCACTCTATAGATAATATAGTACCTAAAGTTATTTTCAGTTTCAATTCATTAAGTATTTTTTGAGTGTCCATGATGTGCCAGGCATGCTTGTAAGTGTTGAGAATACGGATGTAGCCGAAACCGGTTTGGCTCAGTGGATAGAGCGTCGGCCTGCGGACTGAAAGGTCCCAGGTTCGATTCCGGTCAAGGGCATGTACCTGGGTTGCGGGAGTATCCCCAGTAGGAGATGTGCAGGAGGCAGCTGATCGATGTTTCTCTCTCATGGATGTTTCTAGCTCTCTATCTCTCTCCCTTCCTCTCTGTGGAAAATCAATAAAATATATTTTAAAAAAAAAAGAGAGAGAGAGAATACGGATGTGAACAAGAAAGACAAAATCTTGTTCTCAAGAACTTAAGGTCTATATAGTAATTTGTTTTATCTACTTTCTATATAAAAGTTTATAAACTCCTACCCTAGGGAAATTTTATTTTCCTAAGTTAATAGACAATAACACTCAAAATAACTCATAAAGAACAAATACTATAATGAAACAGAATCAGAGAAACTATGTTCTGTACGGACTAGATTACCATATCCTATGTATTTTTTAGCCATTTGAATTTATTCAATACTTCTCTTCCAAACTTCAAGTTTGTAAAATCCAAATTTTAGGTATTTCTCAGTACAATTGATAGGAATTTATATTTTTTAAAAATTCAAATTGTTTAAAGTTTACCTATTGATGCTCTTGCAAAGTAGAGACTATGTTACACATTTTAAAAGATTACTTGCAAAACTTATTTAATTCCCAGCCCTGGCCGGGTACTCAGTTGGTTAGAGAGCCATCCTGATACACCAAGACTGCAGGTATGACTCCCAGAATCAACCAATGAATTCACAAATAAGTGGAACAACAAAATCAATGTCTTTGTCTCTCTGTGTGTCTCTCTCTCAGTCTATCTCTGTCTCAATCTGTCTCCCTCTCTCCCTTCCTCCTTCTCCCTCTCTTTCTCTAAAATCAATAAATAAAAATTTAAAGTAATAATAAAAAGCTTATTTAATTCCCATACATACTTCCTTATCTCTACTTAAGAAAGTTAAATGTCACCTTCTAAACACCAAACACAGGTTAACAGAGTAAAGACAGTAACAAATTATGCCTCAGCAAAGACTTAGGAATTCCTCCATTGTCAAAAGTTCTAAATTGAATAAATCAGGTGACTTACTCATAATTAGAGCATAGCAATGAAAGGACACACTTTGTCAAAATAAACAAGTCTAAGAGGGAGCAGACACTGTACATCAAAAAAGTTTATTTCCATGAACAGAAATCCAAGAACCAGGAAACTACTCAATTCCTATTTTGCCTCTCTGTACTCTCAAACTGAATGTTCTGAAAAGCCAGGGAAAACATGGTTAAGGCATCATTTCAGCCTCTAAAATCTTACTGCTTAGAATTCTTTAAGTTCAAAATTCAGTCATATGAATTTGAGAAAAATGATGCTTGTAAGAATTTAATAAGACACTGAGAGCTTCATGTAATATCCAACCTAATGTTCCTTTTGGAATACCTCAAGCTATAAATTACTGTCTAAATTACCTACGATATACTGCATATTGCTCGGTTTTAGCATGGAATCACATGCATACTTTAGAAGACAAGAAGTACTCAGTAAGTTACAAATTATCACTAAGGTGCTTCATAAAAGATGGTTAATGTGAAAAAGATTTAAATTAATGTACACCTTAACATTAACTAAGGCATTTTCTTTGACTTTGAAAGGTAAAAGTAATGGTTAATCAAATATATTTAAAACACAGCTTATTATGTATAGTTTTTAAATTACAGTTTTAAATTTCTAAGAGGCCCAGTACTGGACATGTTTGGCATATCTGAGATGATACCAAATTGGGGAAACTCAGTAGCAGATATCTGTTATCTTAGTATTTTTGTTCCAAATATAAAAGTGTGTGTGTGTGTGTGTGTGTGTGTGTATGTGTGTGTGTGTGTGAAGAAGGGGGTTAAGTGTATTAGAAAAAAGCACAGCTTTTTAACTCACAAAGATCTAGATTTGAATTCTGCATTACCCTAAATTAGCTATGTGATCTTTGGGCAAGTTACTTAACCTCTTTTAAACATCATTTTCTCCCCAAGATGCAAATAACAGAGTTGTGAAAATGATTAAGTAATTTGTTTTATATAAAATGCCTAAGATACAGTCTGACACATAGTAGGTGCTCAATAAATAGTAATTAGGAGAATGCCATTTTTCTTTTTGACTAATTGTATTGACTACACCAGTTAATGTGAATAACTACTGACTCCCAAGATTTTGTAACTATCAAAGTGTAACTTTACCCTGCTATAACAGGTTTAAAAAACCAAACCCCTACTGCACTGAATGCCAACAAATATGCACCTTCTCCTTTAGCTCCCATATATTTTGCATGACCTTACATGAATTGCTTAGATAAAAGCTTTTTCTCTTCTGCTTTTGTTATTTTAAAGTGCAGATGCATTTGAGTCATTTTCTCCTTTTGTTTCATATCCTTAAGATCCAAAGCTTCAAAGACATAATGTCAGCATGCAGTCGATTTATGACTGAACTCTTGAAGAGGCACTGAAGAATTACCTTGTCAATCACCCCAAGGACTCTGAAGGCCTTCAGCTCCTCGGCAGGGCTCCTTAGGTTCCAAGGGGGCCTTGAACTTAGTGATCCTGGAGGCTAATGGAAGATATCAAAGATTACACATCAATCAGGGAGGTACTTGAAGAAAGACTGCCTGCTGAAGCAAATGCCAGGCCAAAGGAAACTAAATTTATCATAAATCAGAGAATGGAAAGATGAAAGAAGTTTCTGTTTGTCTGTAATGTAAAATAAAAAAAATAATAAAATCAAAAATAAAGAAAATCAAAAAGAAAAAGCAAGAAAAAAGTTGCATGTAAATAAATCATGATAACATTTTAAAAAGAAAAATTAATGAGTTGATAGTTCCTCGCACAGTAATTCAGTTCAAAACTGTACAACTATAATGAAACTTTATAACAATTGGATAACTGAGCCAACAATTAATCACAGCCTTATATTTATCCCAGACCGCTCAAGAGTAATTTAGAATAGAGAACTAAAAACAATGGAAAAATAGATAAACTTGGGGAGTGAGGGCACACAAGTCATCTCTCTCTTCATGAAACTACACTCCATTAGTGTTGTGTTATAAATACATGGTATGTATTTTAAGAGAGATTGGCAGATTCCAGAAGAATTGCCAATAATAATGAAAAATTTAAAAACTCCATCATATAAGCAATAATTATTAGAAATAACCTTGTTTAAGCTAAAAAAAGAGATGATTTACAGGAGAAAGAAAATTTTTTTTAAATATATGAAAATATGTGATGTGAAAAACTTAATCTGTTAGCTACAAAAAAGTCCAAAAGGTCAGTGAACAGAGAAAAGCATGTATCAGTACTACTTACAATAAAAGAATAACCCTAACTTCCCAACCATTGACCTTAGTTTTTCCCTACCAGTAAAGTAAGACATTAGACTAGATAAACTCCAAAGACACTTCCATTTTGCATTTATAATGGAAAGATCAGACAGAGGCCTAGAACCAGGATTACAGGCTTTATTAGAGGAGAAGCACCTGCCGGGCTGCCTCACAAGGGGAGAACAGCAACACGTGCAGGGGTGGGCACGCCTTTTGAGGGGTGGAATGGGAAGGGGTGGGGGGCTTAGTGTACTCGGCGCACACTGATTGTTGGCTTACTGTATTGTCCAGCTGTGGGCAAACTACAGCCCGCTGGCCGGATACGGCCCATTTGAAATGAATAAAACTAAAAAAAAAAAAAAAAAAAGATCGTACCCTTTTGTGTACTGATGTTTACTTTGAATTTATATTAGTTCACACAAACACTCCATCCATGCTTTTGTTCCGGCCCTCCAGAACAAAATGGGTTGAAATGTATCTTAGAAGTATAAATTAAATCAATTTTAAACAATTATCCAGTACAATTGCTATTATTACCAACATTCTCAAGTTAGATGTTTTTAAAAAGTTGTCTTTTTAAAAAATTTTAAATGTTTTTTTATTGATTTTAGAAAGAGAGGAAGGGAGAGGGAGAGAGAGAGATATAAATAACCCATTGTGGCCCTCGAGTCAAAAAGTTTGCCCACCCCTGGTATTGTCCATATAGGACAAGGGCTTAGGGTATTTGGCAGGTGTGGATTGGTGGTCCAATGTATAGTCCATATAAGGTACCTGGTTAGTCACTCAGGTATTTCTGGGCTGCAGGTTACGTCATACCCCGCCCACCAGTTGGGGGAAGAGCGGATCTATCAATAACCAGAAAGCAATGCTATATTAATCCTTATATTAAAATGGTGATGCTGCAAAGAATGACAGGAGACACAAAGTTTTGCTTTATTATATCCTCAGAGCAGGCCTTTTTGTTGTCAAAAATCTATTAGGCTATATAGGAAACATGTTTCCCCCATGAGTGGAAGATAAATATCTGCTTAATCATTGTCAAGATTAACAGTTACTGAGACATCTTTCTTGGTACTTCAAGTCCTCATACTGACCAACATCACCAGACAGGAAGTTCCTTGAGAAGAGGAAATACGCCTTACTCATCTTTGTATTCACAATGCCTAGCATGTTAGTTGAAAGGAGAGAGGAAGAACAGAATAGAGAGGAAGGAGGAAGAGAGGAGCAAAACAAGAAAGAGGAGATTGCATAGATAAATTAGGTGTCATTTACAAATAGAAAATGTACTTGTCAAATTTTCTAAAAGCAGCAATTATAATCACTCTCTGTTTTTTTTGTTTGTTTTCTTTTTTGTGTTCTTTTTAAAATATATTTTATTTTTACTGATTTCAGAGAGGATAGGAGAGGGAGAGAGAGAGATAGAAACATCAAAGATGAGAGAGAATCCCTGATAGGATGCCTCCTGCACACCCCACCCTGGGGATCGAACCCGCAACCAGAGCATGTGCCGTGACCAGGAATCGAACCCTGACCTCCTGGTTCATAGGTCAACATTCAACCACTGAGCCATGCTGGCTGGGCTGCTCTCCTTTTTGTTTGTTTTTAGGCTCAGCAAGCAAATACTAATTTGAATATGCCTGAAGAAGTAATGTTGGATTTAAAAAAAAAGAGACATGCACCAAGAGGTCACTGGTTAAATTCCTGGTCAGGGCACCTGCCTGGGTTACAGGCTCTATCCCCAGTAGGGCGCGTACAGGAGGCAGCTGATTGATGTTTCTTTCTCATCAATGTTTATATCTATCTCTCCCTCTCCCTTCCTCTCTTTCTAAAATCAATAAAAAAACATTTAAAAATTTTTAAAAAGACAACTTTTTAAAAACATCTAACTTGAGAATGTTGGTAATAATAGCAATTGTACTGGATAATTGTTTAAAATTGATTTAATTTATACTTCTAAGATACATTTCAAAAAATACTTATTTAATATGCCAAAAGGTACTGAGTTAGAGGACATTTAAAAAAACAAAAAAAACAAAAAAAACAACAACAACAAAAAAAAACCAGATACATCTCTGCCCCCTAAGAAGCTTAAAATCCAAGATGAATTTTTAAGGATACAAAAATATTTAGCAGGGTACTTTAATAGACATATAACAGAAATAGTTCTTCTATCTTAATTTACATCATTATCCCTCACCCTGCCCTGAATGGAGTACTTACAAGAAGTTATTAAATCCTCATTTTACAGATAAATAAAGGGGAGCTCAGACTGGTTGAGTGTTTATGGTCAGAAAGAACAGTGGAAGATCCTAGTCTAGCCCTCAACTCTATACTTTGCAGTCTTCCTACCACACAACATAGTCTAACAATTAAAAATCCATTTCCCCCTCCATTATCAAGAAAGAATAAGGCCCTGGCCAGGTAGCTCAGTTAGTTGAAACATCATCCCAGTACACCAAAAGGTAGCCAGTTCAATTCCTGGTCAGGGCACACCCCTAAGGTTGCAGGTTCGATCCTCGGTAGAGGTGCATGAGAGAGGCAACCAATTGATGTTTCTCTTTCACATGGATGATGTTTCTCTCTCCCTTTCCACTCCCCACCCCCCCACTCTGAAATCAATAACCATATCCTTGGGTAAAGAAAGGAAGTAGGGAGAGAGAGGGGGAGGAAGGGAGAGGGGGAGGGAGGGAGAGAGAGAAGGAGAGAGAGAGAAGGAGAGAGGGAGGGAGGGAGGGAGGGAAGGAGGGAGAAAAAATTAAAAGTGCTGTAGTTTTGGTAAAAGAAATGTTAAGGAAAATGTATAGGGGGGAAAAAGAATAAGTAATAATTTATCTATTACATTTGTCTTTGAAAATATGGCCAAATGCGTCCAACATCTGCATCTCCTACTTGTACCTTCTTTCTTTTTAATTTTTACTTATTGATTTTAGAGAGAGAGGAAGAGAGAAAGGAGGAGAGAGAGAAACATTGATTTGTTATTCCACTTATTTATGCATTCATTGGTTGATTCTTGTATGTGCCCTGACTTGGTGTATCGGGACAACACTCTAACCAATTGAGTGACCCGGCCAGGGCTACTTGTACCTTCTTTTTCATTGGTGTCATCGGATCTATCAGTTTCCAAAAGAAAATTATTGGTTCACTTTAGCAATCTCAACAGTAAAGATAGAAAACTACAAAAACTCTTCTGCACCTTCCAATAAATAATCACTGGTGTGCAATAGGAACATGATAACTAAAAAGGATCTAAATCATCAAAAGGCACAGTTGCTAGCTTCAAGAATTTATAGTTTACTTGAGGAGATAAGCCAAATACATGAAAAGTTAAATAACAATAAAACCTTTTTGTAAAATACAAGAAAATAGAGACAGGCACTATTAGTGTATGATAAACTGGTCACAGAAAGAAGCAGAACTAAAGGTGATTTCAAATGCTATGTAGAAATTAGGTTAGGAAAAGGGTATTATATATAGGATTGGAAGGAAACTGGCCTGGTTGGGGGGGGAGGGGGGGATGGTCAAATTGTAGAACAGAGGAAAATAAAATTACACAGTAGGATCGGGTCAGTCAGTTTTCACAGGCCTTGAATGCCAGGAAGAAAAGTCAAAACTATATTCTCCAGAGTCTAGAAAACAAGTTTTTGTATGAGAAACAACTCAATAAAAATAGTGATTTAATAAGGTTACTTCTGCAAAGACAGGAATGGTGAAATTGTAATGGCGGAAGACCAAAGATAAAGTGATCATTAAAGTTCTCTTTCTACTTTAACCATCTATAAAACTTTAAGATCAAAGAAATGAACAAAGAAAGATCATGAAATAAAATCATCAATAAAAAATCCTATATTTTTTATATGCAGTGTTTAAATTGGGTAGAATCCCTATGGATCTATTCCTTTTTTCAGATGGCAAAATGAAACATAAATCCATAGAATTTTAAGAACAGAAAAAGACAGAGATCAAGTCCAATATTCTCTTTTTTTAATATGGGAAGCAGCAAGGTGAAGCAATTTGTCCAAAATGACAAAACTAGGTAACAGATAAGAGGGGTTTAAATCTTACTTATAAAACAATGCATGACATTGGGGAAACTGCAGCCAAAGCTAAGGGGGTGGGGAGAAATCAATGCATTTCTAGGCAGCATGGCTGATTTCCTTAATAAATAAAAGTAGAATTTTCAGTTTTATGTATTAGTTACTATAGCAGAAGATGCCTATAGAAGCAAGTAGTAGTTGTATTCATCCACACCAAAACTAAATACAGAGGTCAAGGAGGGGGGCAGAGAAAGGCAAGAATATTGATGACCCAACAGTCTTCAAAACCAAATACAGCAAGTGCTCAAGCCCATGGCAGACATCGCTGTTAATCCCACACTCAGTCTCAATATATACAGTGCTCCTGGGCAGCCACCACCGTGGATTAGAGTTAGCATACTAGTAAAACCTACTTACTGTTCCTGTTCTATATTCTCTAAATGGCTAAGTGAAGCTTACCTTTCTTTTTGTTTCATGGGTTTTTTTAAGTTGCTATTTATCATACCCATCATCTTTTTCACTTGATATTATTCCCTGTTCTCAATGTGATCTGTATCTATTCTTACCAATTTACTAGTATTATACTTCTCAAACTTTAACCTGTATGCACATCGCCTGAGGACCATGTTAAAATGAAGATTCTGATTCACTTAGGCTGGGGGAGCCTAAGATTCTGCATTTCCAACAAGGTCCCAGGTGATGTGATGCTACAGGTCCAGCACCATGTTTGAAGTAGGATTAGCTACTCCTCCTTAAATAACCTGTGAATAAATCACCATTACTTGGGAGCAAATAAATAATCAAGGGCAAAAGGAAAACACTGCAAAGAATTTACCCAGAACCCACACTCCGAACCCTGATAGCTAACTACAAAGTACTACATACTTTCGGAACTTGGCTTCACCTGTAGATTTTTGGCTTTGCCAAGACCTTCATTAGGAACCTATTAACCCTCAATACCCAGCCTCCTAAGACTCTCTTAAATCACATTTCAAGCACCTTTTTATTTTTTAAAAAATTTATCTTTATTGCCGAAACCGGTTTGGCTCAGTGGATAGAGCGTTGGCCTGAGGACTGAAGGGTCCCAGATTCGATTCCGGTCAAGGGCATATCCCCAGTAGGAGATGTGCAGGAGGCAGCTGATCGATGTTTCTCTCTCATCGATGTTTCTAACTCTCTATCTCTCTCCCTTCCTCTCTGTAAAAAATCAATAAAATATATTTTTAAAAAAAAATTTATCTTTATTGTTGAAAGTATTACAGATGTCGCACCCACCCACTGCCAACCCTACTGCACTATTTTCTGTGTCTATGGGTTGTGCATATATACATCTAGGTCAGTGGTCTTCCTAATGCCGTGACCCTTTAATACAGTTCTTCATGTTGTGGTGACCCCCCAACCATAAAATTATTTTCGTTGCTACTTCATAACTGTAATTTTGCTACTGTTATGAATCATAATGTAAATATCTGATATGCAGGATATATTTAAGTGACTCCTGTGAAAGGGTCGTTCAACCCCCAAAGGGTCGCGACCCACAGGTTGAGAACCGCTGATCTAAGTTCTTTAGTTAATCTCTAACCACCCATTCACCCCCCTTCACTCTGAGATTGGTCAGTCTGTTCCATGCTTCTATGTCTCTGGATCTATTTTGTTCTCAGTTTATTTTGTTCATTAGATTCCACATATAAGTGAGATCATGTGATACTTGTCTTTCTCTGACTGGCTTATTCTGCTTAGCATAATACTCTCCAGGTCCCTCCATGCTGTCTCAAAGGGAAGATCTCCTTCTTTTTTATGGCTATATAGTATTTCATTGTGTAACTATACCAGAGCTTTTAATTGCAGTCCTATTACTGATCTGGAATGCCCCTGCTCTGCTTTCCCATGTTTAACTAAGGGTGATACAAACTCATTTTAAAATACTTTTTTCTAAAGAATTGAGACATACCAATAATACCAGCAAACAAAATGCACAACAGAAAACTATTTTTAATATTATTATAGCAATTATATTCAAAATCTACAAAATAATCAGGAAAGGCATACATTCTACGTATTTTCACTCACACCTTGTAAATGCATAACAAAAAAATGTACTTACACTTTAGAAACACCATCTTTGATGTCCTAAATTTAGATTATTTATTTTTCTAAATTTCATTGATCTTGAGTTTAAAATTCCTAGAGCTAAATATAGCAAAAAAAAAAAAAAAAGCTATATCCAGCCTTTTCCAGGGAAATTCCCTTTTAATATTAATTCTTAAAGCATTCAAAGTTATCTACCACTTAATTTTTTAAAGTTTAAAAAAAGATATGTGTCTCCTTCAGTTAAGATTTCACCTTTACTTCAAACGAAGATCATTTACTTTTATTCTGAAACCTGTACTTTTCTTGGGGCCTTTTAGTAATGAAGAAGAAGAAAAAAAGGAGAGTGCTTTTGCTCCTTTCTATCCTTTTTTGAAAAGAATGCTATCAACAATGACTGGGGAAATTCAGAGCTTCTGTATTTACCACCAAAGAGTCTCATATATAAATTCAATAAAGCAAAAAGCTTAAATTACCACAGAAAACTCAGGTGGAATGAGTCATGACCTAGTCCTAGACCAAAGGGGAAAACAGCAATCAACAAAACATTTAAAACTGGAAAGGATTCCTTTATTTTCTTAATCAACCAGGCTAGAAAGAAATGTTTACACAATGTTTACACAATGTTTATAAAAGAGAATATCTGCTTTGCACAGAATTTAAGAGTTAAAAGGGCCTAGGAAATCATTTATACTAGTCCTCTGATTGTGTTCATTGAAACTGACGCCCAAAGAAAGTTAATGGAGACAAATAATGAATTCACCAAGGTAATAAAAAACCTCTAGAAGACATTTAAGTTCAATTTTAGATAAGAAAATAATCAAACATGTCCCTGACCTAAGTAAGGTCCAGGTTTAATAGAATAAAATACAAAATGAAAATGAAAAGCAATTGCTTACTCTAAAAGAAAAACATCTTGCTCTAGCAAGAAAACCTCTCCTCTAGTCTTCTTGCCTAAAAGCTAAAAAAAATCCTAGTATATCAAATGTGGTACCCCTCTTTACCCTTTCTGATCCAAACTCCCATTATTCTGCAGGGCTCTTACCATTCTCTCTTTTATTTCCTGAATTAGGTGCATATTTTGAGTCCTCAATTATGCTACAGGGTTTGCAAGAGCAGAGACTGTCATCATCTTTTCTATAACTCCAGAATATATCTAGTTTCTGTATACACACAGAGTCTTAACAGATGCCTAGTGAATTAATATATAACAATATAAATCAACTTTCCTATATTATACCTCTTTAGTTTCATTAAAAGCTATGCTTGAAGGGAAATTCTGACTGATATACTTCATGGTTCCTTTCTCTAAGTCAAAAGCTATACAATTAGCTTTATGTTTCTTTTCCTAATAAATTATTGCTCACAAAAGTGATTATAAGCAACTATAACAGGGGATGCACAAATAGGGAGTTTGAATAAGTATAGTTAGACTATTCAAAGTTACTGTTAATGGAAAGAACTGATAATTTTGACTCCCTAGAACTTTTAGAATATTTATGTACAAGGTGATTTAATAAAACAAGTTGATAAGAACCCATTCTATTTAACATTTTTATCAATGTCCCCAAAAATAGAATTGAGAATGTATACATTAGGAATGCATACGGGGGGGGGGGGGGGGGGGGGGTTGACAACCCCATAGACAGTAAGAATTGAATTCAAAGTCATCTTTAAATAAATATTTCATTTTAAAAAGATACAATTCAACAGTGAAGAGTTATAAAGCAGTATACAAGGAGGGATGAAAAATAAGGTTAAGACTCATTAATCTAGTCTTAAGTTTGGCTTATAGGCTGGTCTTTTTACTAGGTGGGCACTTGGTGTGTGTGTGTGTGTGTGTGTGTGTTCATTTTTTTTGAGTGATTTTCTCAAACTCATTTAATCCTAACAAGAACCCAGCAAGGAATTATCTGATCCTCATTATTCATATGTAGCAACTGAAGCTACGAGGTGGTTAAGTAGCTTGTCCATTCTTCATGGCTTCAAATGGAGAGCTGAGATCCGAACAAGCCCACCTGCCTCTTAGATCAATTGAGAAAATAAATACTTTCTCCCATCTCAGAAGATGATTCTTAAATTGCATTTTTTTAAAAAGTTGGTTTAATATAAAGAAATAACAATTTTTTCCAGAAATGTGCCAAAACAGATAGATAGGATATAAAAACAATAATATTAAACCACAATGTTTCTAATGTTTCATTCACCTGCTTTTGAGACATGACTAAAGGTAATCCTACATAATCTAAACATCACTGTCAGAATTATACCTTTACAATTCTAGGTGATCGATAGCAGCTACTTATAGGACTTATGTTTAAATGGTTAGCTTTAGCATGAAGCAATAAAAACATTAAAGAAATTGTTTGAGGATCATAATCTAACTTTAAAAAATTCAAATAAAATTCAGTATAAATTAGATTATTAGGGGTAGAATAAGAAAAAAGGACAAAGAAAGAAGGAAAAAGGAAGTCCCATTTTATTCTATTTTTGGTGCTTTAATGCTTTTCTTTCACCAATAACTTAAAATTATTGATAAAATTCCAAAGACCAAAATTCTCAAACTCTCTAAATAGAAATAAAGTGAGAGAAAAGACAGCAAAAATGGCTAAAGGAAATGCAAATGAAACGTAAGACATACCTGAGCTACTTCATCAAATTGAGCTTTTCTATGAAAGCTAGAGAGACTCTCTGCTCGCATGAGATACTCTGCTGTTCTTCTCTTCACAGCTTCTCGCCGGGTAGGGCTTGACTCTCCTAAAAGGAGGAAATAAAACTCAGGTCAGGGGAAAAATAAATAAACTCTTATTTATCTAATTTGAAGATTAACTTCCCGTTATCCACTGTACCACTTCTTCACATTTCTAACTGAAAAGAGAAATTCAAAACTGGAATGGAATAACCAAAGTTATTAATATCAGCAAGGTCTAAATATTTTTCAATTACAATTGGCATTCAATATTATTTTACATTCGTTTCAGGTTTCTAGTAGAGTAGTTAAACATATATACAGTTCAGGAAATGATCCCCTAATAAGTCTAGTAGCCACCTGACACCATATATATTTATTACATTTTTTGACTACTAGAGGCCTGGTGCACGAAATTTGTGCACCCAGGGATGGGCGGGGGGGTTCCTCAGCCTGGCCTGTGCCCTCTCACAGTGCGGGAGCCCCACGATTGATCTCCCCAAAGAGATAGGCCCCACTCACTCGTCCGGGACTCCTCAATGGATTGCCCCAAAGAGGTAGGCCGGAGCCAGGGGTCCCGCCCCTGGCATCACCACACGGACCCGCCGGGACCCGCCCCAGTGGCTCTGCGTGGAGCCGCGTGACCCCCTGGCGTCACCACAGAGAACCATAGGACCTGCCTCCACGCTATACACACATCAAGCCCCCACCCACCCACACACGCCCACTGCGCACACAGCCTCCTGGTGATGGATTGTTACAGCATGAGGGCGTGATGACCACATAGGCTTTTATTAGTATAGATATTCTCTAGGCTGTACTTTATATTCCTGAGCAAGGTCTAAATATTACCTACATGTATTTTATCTTTCCAAATTCTAAAATTCTCCTATTGAAATATGTATATAGAGAATTCAACATATTTTATAATAGCAGATATGAGAAATGTAGTATAAAAAAGCTCTGCAGATAAGACTAGCCTTACCCAGACAGTTGTCTAACTCAACAAATAGTATTAAGGTCCACAGATGTTTAATAAGAGCTATGATATGGATATGACATGCTGTAAAAGTACCACCAAATTGAAGAATACAATTATTTAGGGTAACTCTGAATTCACTCTAATTGATTTTTATAAGCTTCATGGTTTTTTCATTAACAACAAATTGTCACTCACCTTACAAATGAAAACAAGAATATGATTTAAATCCCTGTAATATGTAATTATCTGAAAGTGACAAGTCATTTATTTACCCTGTCTGGCTCTCTGTTTCCTTACACAAAAGGTTTTTAAAGTGGCCTCCAAGCCCTAACCAGTTTGGCTCAGTGGACAGAGCATCGGCCTGCAGGCTGAAAGGTCCTGGGTTCAATTCCAGTCAGGGGTATGTACCTTGGTTGCGGGCACATCCCTAGTAGGAGGTGTGCAGGAGGCAGCTGATCGATATTTCTCTCCCATAAACGTTTCTAACTATCCCACTCCCTTCCTCTCTGTAAACAATCAATAAAACATTTTTTTAAAAAAAAATAAAATAAAATAAAGTGGCCTCCAAGAAGTCAAGACCTCAATAGAGAGGAGGTCCAGCCCATGGAGCACCGGGCTCTCCCCTCTCCAAAGCAGGGTGATCCTGTGCTTTTGTTCATTTTATACGGTACTCGACTGTGAACATTTCATGGCTCAAAGTCAAAAACTTTAAGAACCACTGTACTATTTATGACCTCTAAGGTTCCTTTCCTAAATAATATTTCATACTTTTCATGACTCATTTTTATCGAAGCACTTAACACATGGCACTGTTTTTATAACAGACCAAATACATCATCTGAATGAAGTCAATAAAAAAAGCAAGTGTCATATAGTGGGAAGTGTCCTGGATAGCATTCCAGAAACCCTGGTTATCTGAATTTTGGCTCTGCCTCTCACCAGTCATGTGACCAATGGTAAGGTATCTCATTCTCTGAACGTCTTCTCATTCCTTAAAATGGAAATATATACCTCAAATGGTTGTGGAGATGAAAGGAGACAACACACATAAAAGGTATTATTACAACAGTGACAAAACTATAGGAAGCACTAAATTGTAAAAGTTTCCATTCCTCATTTTTCTCTCAGAATTAAATCCTTCAAAATAATGTTAACTGGTTTGCTGAACTAAAGTGAATTGAATTACTAAAGTAAAGCAGACATTTTCCCCAAAAACTCTTCTTATTTTTGCCTGGAACAGTATCTCCTGTTTCTTCTGGGAAATGCCTCTTTCTCCTCCCCTGATACTGCTCCACCTCTCCTCTCCCCACCTCCCACGACCAGCGCTTACTCACCAACAACTGCTTTGAATGAAAACTGCTATCGTGTTTCAGATTTCAGTCCCTCTACTACTAGTTAGCCAAGGGTTGAAAGCTGAGCCAATCACAGAACCCCACCCTCTTGGCCACAGCTGGAGGAGAGAGGAACTGGCCCAACACAAACTGGGCCAATCAGGCCTTCTCTGTTATTGACACTGGAAATAAGAGTGGAACTGCCAGCAGCCTAAGTGTCTGCCAATGGTTTCTGCCATAGTTTCTCACAAAAGCCAATCTGAAAGAAGGAACTGGACAGAAAGAAGCAGATAGGAGAGAAAGAAAGAAAAAATCCTAGCGTGACTGGGGTCCCTGATTTCAACTGAATCTACATTTCTGCCATTCTTTGTGTAAAGTAGTACAAATATAGATTTTTATCACATGCAAACCAAAGAACCCTGAATGAACATAGACCTCAAAGAAAAACTGCAATAAAGTTACTGTAATTTTGCTAAGTAACTTTCCTTTCACTGCTTTTTCATTACTATTCCATCTCTTCTCTCCTTCATGAGAAATTTACAAATATAATTGGTTTTGGTGAGGGGAAAAATTCTCTACTGCTTTTTAACTGTGGAACAATCTATTAACAATCTATTTTAAACCTCTGGTATCTCTGCTGCTTTCTAGGCACACTCCAACTCCTGACACCTCAATTAAAATAATCAGTATGCTTCCTGCCTGTCCTTAAAATGTACTTAATTTCTAAACCCAAGGTTTGTATTTTTCTCAGTTGAAAAATAGAGATAATCTATGAAAATCACCTAAGTATAACATATTTTGAGGATAAAGTTTGCCACAAAAATAAGAAACATTCCATATTTCTACACACTACCAGCCCTTGATTTTGAGTTTGCTGTTTATGGACTCTGTTATTCCCATTTTCATTGGCTCTTCTCATTTCAGCTTATGTCTTTTAAGCCCTAATTGAAATCCCTATTTTAGAATTTTTTATTCCTCTAAGGTTCAATTCTAATAGAAACTGTGCCAATTTAGTGTTTTCATTCAGTGTGAATAAGCTTTAATGAAACTTCAAATTTTGCTTTATTCAAAGATATCAACTTGTCTCCCAAAATAATTTGAGTCAAAAATGCCAAGATAATGGACCACCTAATTAAAGCTAGAGTTAACACCATATTATGTGCTCAAACCAGTGTTTTTTTAACTTGTGGTATCTCTGCTGCTTTCTAGGCAGTCTCCATAGGAACAGAGAGTCAAGAACAGGAAGCCAGCAGTTGAAATGGACTCCTGCTGAGGATAGTGATTCCGCTTCCATGGAAACAACAATGAAGTGATGGAAAAACTGGAAGGCTTTTAAAATGTAACCTTAAACATACATACTATGACACTTTCCTATCAGCACCTTAAAAGTAGGTCATAACCAAAGGCCCTGGTGGGGTAGCTCAGTTGGTTAGAGCGCTGTTCCCATACGCTAAGGCTGCAGGTTCGATCCCTAGTCAGGGCACATACAGGAATCAACCAATGAATGCATAAATATGTGGAACAAGAAATCTATGTTTCTCTCTCCTCTCTCTACAATCAACAATAAAAATTAAAAAAAAAAGAAAAAGCAGGTCACAACCACTGCTGATCAACAGCAGCAAGGATGACAACTACTTCTTACAGATTTCTGCTGCTGGATACTTACTGAAGTTTGTGAGTACATACCAGAAATAAAAGACCAATCTTGCCAAAACCGGTTTGGCTCAGTGGATAGATCGTCAGCCTGCGGACTGAAGGGTCCCGGGTTCGATTCCAGTCAAGGGCATGTACCTGGGTTGCAGGCACATCCCCAGTAGGAGATGTGCAAGAGGCAGCTGATCGATGTTTCTCTCTCATCGATGTTTCTAGCTCTCTATCTCTCTCCCTTCCTCTCTATAAAAAATCAATTAAAAAAAAAATTTAAAAAAAAAAATCCCCCAGAACAAAACCAGAAGAAAAAAAAAAGACCAATCTTCTGGACAATTCTAAGTGATAACATTATAGATAGATGTAACTTTAAACAGATTTTAATTGATTAAAAAATTTTAATCGATTCTAACCTTAATTTCTCAATTTTCATTTTAAAATTTATACAGCTGATAAGGATTATTTTTCAGGAAAAACTAGGTTACCTGGAATTCAAATTTTAATTTCACACTAGGTCATGTGACTGTTATTTTTTCAGTAATATATTCATGTAGACACTTCATAAATGCTTTTTGTTGTTGTTGTTAATCCTCACCCCAGGATATTTTTCCATTCATTTTTAGAGAGAGTGGAAGGGAGGGGGAGAGACAAAGAGAGAGAAATATCAATTTGAGAGAGACACATTGATTGACTGCCTCCCACATGCACCCCAAGCTGGGGATCGAGCCTGCAAACAAGGTACTCTCTCTTGACTAGAATCAAACCTGGAACCCTTCAGTCTGCAGGATGACACTCTATCCACTGAGCCAATCTGGCTGGGGCAATAAATGCTCTTAAAAATGGATATATATTTTACATTCTACTTAAAGATAAACCACTACCTTCAATAAGTTTCTCTGCATTTCTGTTATTCAAATACAGCAAAATTTTCCACTGGGTTTCGGCATTCAGAAGTGAAATCTGCTCCCATAACATACTAACTTTTCTGTCAACAAGTTCTGGTGCACCACAAAATATGTCACCTGTATACTATGCATATACTGTGCCAGCCTGTATATCTTTACTCTATACTTTATCAATTTCTGATCAGGAGAGAGGACTGATAGAG